CTCCCCACAAGTTGGAGTGTGTATGCTGCATAAATCCAACTTGGACATGAAGGAATTAAAAAGTGGCGCATGAAGTGGCTTAGTAAAAACGTCCGCTAGCTGGGACTCCGAAGGAACTGGAAGGAGATTGATAAGTTTGGAGTGCAACTTTTCGCGAATAACGTGGCAATCCAGCTCAATGTGCTTGCTGCGCTCGTGAAATGTGGGATTATGTGCCAAATAGATCGCAGATTTGCTATCACAGTATACAAATGCAGGAGTAGGAAATGTAATTTGAAAATCAACAAAGAGGTAAGAAAGCCATTGAACCTCACATGTCAGAGATGCAAGAGCACGATACTCCGCTTCAGTGGAAGAACGGGAAACATTATTCTGCTTCTTAGAGCGCCATGAAATGGGAGAATTACCTAACAAAACACAAAACCATATCACAGATTTCCTAGTATCCGGACAGCGTGCCCAATCGGAGTCCGCAAAACCATGAATTTTTAAGGGGCTAGTGCGGGAGAAAAATATTCCATGTGTTGGACGCCCTTTCAAGTATCGTAGAACACGAAGGATAGCTTGGTAATGAGGTTTCAACGGGTTAGCCACATATTGGCTGAGGTGCTGCACTGCAAAAGAAACACCAGGCCGCGTATTTGTCAAATATAATAACCGTCCTACGAGCTTGCGGTATGAGGAGGGATCTTCCAAGGATTCACCATCAGTGGAAGATAGCTTCAAGTGTGGATCAATGGGCGTTGAGACGGATTTGGCACCAAGCAGGCCTGTATCTTCAAGCAGTTCAAGCACATATTTCCTTTGATTAAGGAATATACCAGATGTTGATCGTGCTATTTCCAGGCCAAGAAAATATCGTAGATTGCCAAGATTCTTGATGCGAAATTTCTGATGCAAACAAGACTTGACATATTCAATTTCTGAAGGAGAACCACCTGTCAACACAATATCGTCAACATAAATCAAAAGAGCGGTAAAACTGTGATTTGTTTGCTTGGTATACAATGAATGATCTGCCTCGGACTGAGAAAACCCCAAAGAACAAAGGGCTGAGGATAATTTGGCATGCCACTGTCTACTAGCCTGCTTTAGTCCATACAAAGATTTGTTGAGCCTGCAAACTTTATTAGATCCAAAATTATCATAGCCAGGAGGAGGAGACATATAAACTTCCTCTTGTAAATCGCCATGGAGAAAGGCGTTGTTAACGTCTAATTGCTCCAGATGCCAATGTTTTATGGCTGCAAGGAACAAGAGAACTCGAACAGTAGTTATTTTAGCAACAAGAGAAAAGGTGTCAAAATAATCTACACCTTCCAATTGAGTATAACCCTTGGCAACTAAGCGAGCTTTGAAACGTTCAATAGATCCATTGGCATGATATTTTACTTTGTATACCCATTTGCAACCAACTGGAGTTTTGCCTAAAGGAAGATCCACAATAGTCCATGTTTGAGTGTCCTGAAGAGCTTTAATTTCAGAATCCATTGCTTGTCTCCAACAATCATGTTTGGATGCTTGAAGGTATGTTTTTGGTTCAACAGTAGAAGAGACAGAGCAACAGAAAGATTTGTAAGAGGGAGAACATCTATCATATGATAGAGTTTTAGAAAGAGGTTAAGGTGTGGTGTGGTGGATAGGTGATGACTCATGTGTACCAGATGTAGTAAGGGTATTACAATGGAAGTCTTTAAGGTATTGTGGGGGGTTTCTGGTTCTAATAGATTTTCTTGTAAGGGGAACATGTTCAGAAGAAGTATTATTTGAAGGAGGTGAAAAAGGTTGTGGAGATAAACTAGTTTGAGGGTCATGGTCGATGATACGAGGGTAGGAATGGTTAGGATCTGCTGATGTAGCAGAAGGGTGTGGAGTGGACAAGTCCAAGAGAGGTGTGGAACTGCCATTGGGTGTAGAGCTGTCATTAGGGACTGAGACAGATGATGCAGAAGTGACAAGAATGTTGTCCACAGCAGGAGGTACAGTATGGTCTATGTCATATGTTGTAGCTGGTGGGTTAGGGTCAGGAGGTTTGGGTTGAGAAATATTGCTTTTGAAAGGAAAGTGTTTCTCAAAGAAAATCACATGTCTAGAAACAAATAAATCGTGGGATTGCAGGTCATACAAGATGTACCCTTTGGTACCAGCTTTGTGCCCAAGAAAAATGGCTTTACGAGCCCTAGCATCAAACTTAGTTCGATGGGCCTGCAAGGTAGTGGCATAACATAAACAGCCAAAAACCTTTAAATGAATCAAAACAGGAAAGGTTTTGAATAAAATTTCATAGGGAGATTTGTAATTGAGGAGAGGGCTAGGAATACGATTGATGAGGTGGACTGCATGTTGTATGCTAAAAGTCCAGAGAGTTAAGGGAATATTGGAGTGAAATGTAATTGCTCGGGCAACATTCAAAATATGTTGGTGTTTGCGCTCAACTACCCCATTTTGTTGGGGAGTTTCAACGCAGGATTTTTGGTGGATAATTCCCTTTGAAAGGAAAAAGGAATTGAGAGTGGAGAATTTTGAACCGTTATCAGACCTAAAACACTTTAGAGATGTGGTGAATTGGTTTTCAAGTAAGGCAACAAAATTTATAACACTTTGTTTGGTTTCAGACTTGGCCTTAAGAAAGATAACCCACGTAAATCTGGAAAAGTCGTCTACAAGAGTTAAAAAGTACCTATGGCCTAAAATTGAGTCAGTGGCCAAGGGACCCCATAGGTCAGCATGTAGCAACTCAAATGGGGCATGAGTATTAGTAAAGCTGTTAGGAAAGGGCAATTTCTTTAATTTGGCAAGATGACAAGAATCACAAGGGTCCATATTATTTTTACAAGGAATAACAGGAAACTATTTAGACATATATTTCATACCAGAATTAGAGAGGTGGCCTAGTCTTAAGTGCCACATCTCAAAAGAATTAGAAACTACAGAATTACAGGAATTATGGAAAGCATTTGAATCCATGACATAGAGGCCTCTGTGCAATTTAGTTGTACCAATCACTTGCTTCGAATGGTTCTGCAAAATATTACACAGAGTCGAGGAAAAATTTAGAGAGCAGTCATTTGTGGTAGTCAATTTAGTGATTGAGATTAAATTGACATGAAAGTCGGGAATATATAGAACATTGTAAAGAGTTAGGGATGGTGATATGACTATGGTTCCAGAAACAGAAGCTGTAAGATGAGAACCATTAGGCAAAGATACAGATATTGGCACGATGGATTGATAAGATGTAAAGCTAGCTAGGTGAAAAGAAATGTGGTATGTTGCTCCTGTGTCTAAAATCCAAAGATTGTGATGCTTACCAGTGTTGGGAAAGGCTTGGGAAGTGGAAGCAAAGGGTGAAGTGGTGATGACATTAGCAGTAGGTTGAGCTTGTTGAGATTGTTGAAGCATGGCACGGAGACTCTGAAATTCCTCTTGAGTAAACCCAAACATAGGTGTGGAATTTTCCTCAGACTGAGCAGTAGTGTGTGATATGGTGTTGGCATGAGATTGTGAGGAACCTTGAGTATTAGATGCAGGCTTGGTGCGGTTTCGATACCCCGGTGGATATCCATGTTTCACAAAACAAGTATCCACAGTGTGATTTGTTCGACCACAGTGAGTGCATACTCGATTGCCTCCTTTGGTTGAGGAAGAAGAACCTTTCCATTTGTTTGGTGCCACACCCTTATTTTGAGTGTTAACATGAAGAGCAGTGACACTGGCTTCAGAAGAATCCAAAGGAGTAGCAGAATTTAGTTCACGTTCTTGTTGAATGACCAAAGAAAAAGCTTTGTCAATGTCAGGAAGAGGTGTCATCATCATGATTTGCGACTTTGAGTGAGAAAAACGATCATTCAAGCCTTTCAAAAACCTAATCACGTAATCCTGCTCGCGATAGGTTTGTGCAGATGAAATTGCACCACAAAAACAAGCGATAGCACATGTGCAGCAAGGGAGAGGACGATAGTTCTCCAATTCATCCCAAAACACTTTCAATTGTGTGAAATATTCAGAGATATCAAGAGTACCTTGGCGGAATCGATACAAATCTTCTTGAATATCCGAAATTCGAAAGATGTCGCTCTGTGAAAACCTAATTCGTAAATTCTTCCAAACTCCAGCTGTTGTATCAATTCACAAGACAAATTTCGCAATCGATTCAGAAATTGAACGCTGAATCCAAGAAAGTACCATTGTATTGCAGCGAATCCATTGCGCATAGAGAGGATTGGAGACCGGTGGTTTGGGAAAGGTACCGTCAACGATTTTTTTTTTGTTCTTGGAAATCAATGCGATGTGCATCGATCTTGACCAAGTGTGATAGTTCTTGTTGTCCAACGGTGGAGCAACAAGGATGAGCGCCGGACTTTCGTTCGGATGAAGGTAGTAAGGGTTCGCAGAGTTCGTCGTGAAATCAGAGAAGCTCTGGTGATCCATAGAGAATCCGATTGAAGGAAGGAAGAACGCAGAGGTTTCAATGAAAAAAAATGGTGAAGAAAACCGATGAAGGTGCAAACTGTGCGCGGGATACCAATCGGAGAAGACGAAGAGAGAGAGAGAGAGAGAGAGAGAGAGAGAGAGAGAGAGAGAGAGAGAGAGAGAGAGAGAGAGAGAGAGAGAGAGAGAGAGAGAGAGAGAGAGAGAGAGAGAGAGAGAGAGAGAGAGAGAGAGAAAATGGTCACCAGAGCTCATTGAGCTCTGATACCATGTTGATAATAGAGAAATTGTTCATTGAAGAAGAGAAAAGAATAGTAATGGCAGAATTTCTCATTGTTGTTATTGAACCAATGTTATACAACCATATATACTAAAGGATACAAGGACAAAAGAGGAAAAATACTAACTTATCACAGTTGACATTAACTAGAAAATAACTGAAAAACTAACTCCACTATTTTTATGTTGATAGAGAACTCTTTAATAAATAAGTTTTTTTTATAGAAATTTATATATTGAGTGCATGAAAATTGTAACAATTGTGTTTTTAAGAAATTGATTATTTATAGCTAGACCCTTAAGTCATTTATATGAAATATTGTATGTACCTGGGCAACAATGGTGATGCCAAAAGTGGATTTTCCAAGTTTCAAGACGCTGCTACTCTGTACTGAAAGATGAAGTTTTTCAAGCTGGGTCAATATTTTGAGCACGACACCATTTTGTTTCTCACAGTGGATTGTGATGAGAACTTCCATTTTTGACACTTTTGCTTTGACCAAAGGAAGAATATCAATACTTATTTCACTATTGTTGCGACAAATCTTGTTGGATTCAGCTTCGTGTTCTAGCTCTTTAACACGTTCTTGAAGTTGTTTCACATAGTTTCTAGCCTTGTCCAAGATCGAAGCATCGTCCATCTGCACATTTATTATATAGAAAAATTAGTTTCGGTTTCTATATCACTAAATATATACTTGCTAGGGGTTTTTTCATTTTTATTTTATAAAACAGTTTACGCAAAATTAACATACACTAAAAGTCCGTTTGCTAAATAATTAGATAAAGATATGACACTAATATTATAGACATGTATTATGTGGGTAGTGCACACATGAAAAAAAATTATTTTATTATTTTATATGTATATTATACACTTATTAATATGATATATTATATTGAAATCATCAAACTACTCTCTTATAATATATTACATTCTTTTTAAAATTAAATTTAAATAATAATTGGCTTAAATGCAGTTTTGACCCCCCTAGTTTAAGGTTTTTGGAGTTTCGATCCCCCTAATTTAAAAGCCAGGTTTCTAGTCCTCAAAGTTTTCAAATTTGAGATTTTTGAAGCCCCTCCATCTGGCTGCTCAAAAAGTGACATGGCAATGCCACGTTTTTTTTTTTTTTTTAATTTTTTTTTTTCTTCTTCTCATGGGCAAAATTAAGGTTCGAAAGAAAAAAAAAATTTTAAAAAAAAAAAAAAAAAAAAAAAAAAACGTGGCATTGCCATATCATTTTTTGGGCAGCCAGATGGAGGGGGCTTCAAAAATCCCAAATTTGAAAACTTTGGAGACTAGAAACCTGACTTTTAAACTAGGGGGATCGAAACTCCAAAAACCTTAAACTAGGGGGGTCAAAACTGCATTTAAGCCATAATAATTTTATTTAATTAAAAATATAGAATATAAACAAATTTAAAAATAGTAAATAAGTTTTGATGCATTTTATAAAAATTCATAAACACTATGAAATGATTCGTTATAATTTATTTTTAAAAAATGAGTGATAATAATTTATTCTATATGTTAGATATGTCAGCTAAAAATATATTATACATTATAAGTAAATAAAAAAACTACCATTGCAAGAAAATTATATGTAAATTTTTATAAAAAAATATTAATATTAATATTTTTTTATTTTAATAATACTTTTATTTATAAATATTTTAATATTATTTTATAAGGATAAATCAATCATTTATTTTTTAATAATAATTTTATTTTTATTTTTGAAAAATAATTTATTTTATTTTTGAAAACTATATATAATATAAATTTCTTTTATATATATATATATATATCCACCCCAGGTTATGTTTTGAAAGGGTTTCCAAAACCCCAGAAAATGTATGGCATCACTATATGAAGTACTCCCTCTGTATAGGTTTATAAGAAAAAAACACATACTTTTCTTGTTATAATTTATAAATAAAAAAATATTAATTTAATTAAAATTATTATTACACTTTCTCATAAAATATATTTCAAAAAAACACAAACATTTAAATTTTTAAATTTTTTTAATAAATGTGAGAATATGACTTTTATTTATAAATCATTACATAGATAAGTGGAGGTTATAAAACTATATTCTTTGCTACATTTTTCAAGGAAGATTAAAAGTCAACAATAGAGCACATTTGAGTGTTTATTGGCCTCGTTTCTAAAGTTACAACACCTAAGACCACCTCGAACTGTAGTTTTTCAGGTTGGTTTGTCAGCTTAGTATTGAAATTGTCAATAAAAAAGTTATTCTAGCTGGTGAACGGTATAAATATAAGCAACAGTTATTCATGTTTTTTTATTATTAAAATAATTAATTATAGGACCCAATAACAATTTTAAATCAAATAAAATTTAATATAAATAAAATATTAATATACAAAGTAAAATTGTGGAACCCAATATAAGTTCTTTAAAATTACACCATTAAAGTGAAAAATAGAGTGAATTGCTTCAAAATGATGTGACTTAATGGATTCCACAAAGAACCTAAATATGAGTAACATCATTGCAGATGCTCTAATATAATGAAATTGAAACAATAAGTAGATGAATAAATGGAAATTTTCATTAAGAGGTTTAAATATAAGGCTGGAATATGAGCAAATTTCCTGATCCGAAATATGTATAAACTAACATCAATGACATTAACTCTCAGTTAATACACTCTCCATAAATAATTTTTATTTTCTTTGATATATTTAATTATTAATATATGAATCAGAATGTATTTAAAAAAGTAAAAAGTATTTATAATAGTATTTAAAAGATAAAAATGTACAAAAATTGGTCGCACAAGATTCCCATAGTAGAGATGAATTCTCGTTTAGGAAAACTTGCATGGAATGATTCACAAAAAAATCGTACAAAGGATACGTAAAGATCCTGATAATAAAGATGCAACGAAAAAACCAAAAGAATCTTATTCGCATCCAAAAACACAAGACTCATAAGAGGAAAGAGATAGGACACCCAGGAAAGTAGAAAAATTAATTATATGATGAAAAATGCAAGTCCTGTAACTTGTAAGACTGTTTAATAATGTTGTAAGAATAAAGGAAGAAATTGCTTTATGAAAAGAGAATGGTTATCTCTAAAAAAACATATTTTAAATTGACTCGTAGATAATCTATATGTTTATTACATTAACTGTCAGACTGCAAAACAGGTATAGAAAGCTCTGAAAAAAGTATGATACTGAAGAGAGGCTGGAGAAAAAAAAAATGTTGTAAGTTGCTACTTGAAGTATAAGACGGTAGATGAATGGTTCATAGGGCTGAATGTCTCGAACTTGAAATTGAAAATTAACTTAGTAAGAAAATTAAGAGGCTTTGTGCTGATAGAGGAATGAAGTATAATTCTAATTTATTTAATAAATTTTATAAACAACGTGAAATTTTAAATTTAAGTGAAACCACTACACCATATTTTCCTAAAATGAAAGGTAAAATATAAAGAAAGAATAAAACTCTTATTGAACTAGTTGTTGCTATTATATCGAATTCTGGTGTTTCAAGTGGAGGAAATTTTATTGACTATTTGTTATGTCCTAAATAGAATTTCCAAGTAAAAATTAAGATCTCTCTTTATGAGGTATTGAAGAAAAAATAATCAAACTTGTGTTATTTTAAAATTTGGTGTTGTCTATCTTATGTCTGATTTTTGGATCCGAAGCGAGTTAAACTCACTAGTAGAGTATGTGAATGTGTATTCATTGGGTATGAAGTAAACGATAAGGATTATAGGTTTTTCTGACCTAAATGTTAAACTGATCATAGAATCAAATAATGTTGAAATCTATGAAAACAAATTTCCTTTTAAATTGAGAAATATTTGGGGCACTGAATTGAATCACGTTTTTGTGATGAGAAGCAAAATAAGAAAGGATGAAATATAAGTGGAACTTCAATGCAATAAAAGAGTAAGAGTTGCTAAAGACTATGAGTCTGTGTTGGCTGAAGATTTTGATAATATTATTAGAAGCCAAGCGAATTGAACGTTTCGATCGAAATGAAACAAATTGATCATGTTTCGAAGTAGCAGAAGCAGTGTTTCGAATAAGCATATCAAAGCTTGAAGCTTCGAGTGGCAATTATGGGAACATATCTAAAGAAGTCTCGAAATAACAACAAGGCTGTGTCTGAGAAGTACGTTCGAAACGGAGAAGTACCAAAGCATTTGAAATTCAAATGGAAGCGGGACATTCGAAGTTTAAAATTTATGTGCTGGAGCATTTGGAGACACGTGGAAAGAAGAGAGAGACATTGTTCTGCATGTTCTGAACGTGGCATGATCCTATAGCAAGACCGTTATGGTCGAATTAGTATAAATAGAAGTCTTAGTATTAGGATTTCGTGTGTCATATCTATTGTACTAAATACTCAGTAACATTCAAACTACCACATGGCAAGGGAAACGAATGCAAGAGCAATGTACGTATGATAGCACCACATATTTATGATTTAATGAAAACCTTTTATCATTTCCAGCATTTTCTTTTATCTTTCTGCCAAATACCATTTACAAGTTTTCTCATTTAAAGTCTTTTTACTTCGAAATCTCTTCATTAAAGCCTTACATTTCAATGCTTTCTTTACGTTTCAAGCACTTTACATTTCAGAAAACTGTCATACTTTTCATGCCTTTATCTTCAAGCTTTATCCTTCGAACGCCTATTTTTACTTAAAGTCATTTACAGATTTCTTGCATTAAACGCTTTCTTCATATTTCAAATCTTTTACGTTCCAAAACATCTTTTACATTAACTATTTTTATAATTCGAAGCCATTTACTTCCCTTTTATACAATTTTACATGTCTTTACAATTAACATTTATTCATGCAAGTTAGTTTCGCGCACATACATTTTGATTACACCTTTAGACCTTTAAGAGAGAAATCGAAATAAACCAAACACCTATACAACACTCAAATATCAACCATGAATATCTGTTCGATCATGAGAGTTACCCTAATGACCAAGGAATCCTAGGATCAATCTAGTCGATCCTGTGAGTTACCAAAGAAATTGAATAACAGTCAGTAAGTTTATTCGATAGTTTGGAAGACTAGCGGTTGTTTACTAGAAATCACTGGAAACAAATTGGCACACCTGGTGGGACCGATAATTGGACATTAGAAATAAAGATTGTTGAGACATAACCATTATAAAAACGTTCGAACCTAAGAAGTTTGCTGTTTTATGAACCTGAGAAGTGGTAAAGTAACCAACAGCAACCAACCTTTATCCAGAAGAAAACGTTTGACCAAGATGTCTAATTCTGACAATCAACAAGGGGAACAAAATGCCCCACATACAACAGACACTAGTGTGTCCACTTCGATGGGAACATCTAATGTGATCCCTTCGAATGCACAGTCTGTTGCATCTTCAACCAGTAATATAGCCACCAATGGAGTGAGTGGCATATCAACTAATAGTTCGATCTTAGGAAATACTGGAACCATTGGTTACCCTGGGGGATTTGTTCCACCATCAGGGACACAATCTCATTTCGCCACTCCACTAACTAGACCACCCGGTTTCGATGGTAATAGAACCAGAAATTCCTCTTATGGAATGCCAACATCTTTTATGGCAGGTTTACACAATTCCACATCGAATTCA